CTCTCTCTCTCTCTCTCTCTCTCTCTCTCTCTCTCTCTCTCTCGCGCGCGCGCGCGCGCGCGCGCCTTGTCTGAATCATTATCGTGGCACTGCTCGCTAGTGAAGACGATGAAGACAACCAATCAGCTCACATTATCGCGGTCACTGAAAGTCATTCGTCTTGATGTCTCTCTCTCTCTCTCGCGCGCGCGCGCGCTCGCCTTGTCTGAATCATTGTCGTCGACGTTAGTCTCTGTGGTGTACGAAGAGGTGGAGTTATCTTCATCATCTAGGGAATTTGGTGCCTGATCAGCCTCTGTATCGCTCGCACCGTGGTCAGTGATGACATCTTCTTCATTTGAACTCTCAGAATCCTTGTCATATCCTTCAAAATCTTGTATCTGCTCTTTCAGGATTTCGTCCTCACTTCTGTAATCTCAGTCTTCATCAATGTTGCCTGCGTCGATGATGGCCTTCATTTGTTCTGCTTTCTGAAGACATCGTTGTCGTTTACTCTCGGATTCTTCCAAGTCTTCAAGGAGATGTTTAACTCCGCGATCGGTGTCTTCTAGTCCTCGCTGGCGATACTTAGCAAGCTTTGCCTCTCTGTAAGCAATGTAATCTTGATGCTCTTTCTCTTCTTTAAGTGCTTCGTATCGTATGGAGTAGGGATCTCGTGCAGAAGATCAGCGACGACGAGGCATTTTTCGAAGACAGTATGAAGTTGTTCAACGGCGACGGCGAGGGATCTCGTGTCTCCTTGTCAAAGAACTTGTTCAACGACGGCTGCACTTCGTTGTACTTTGAATCGTGTTGAACGAAGTTAAAAGGAGCTGTGCCCAAAAACAGCACGTGCTCTACTGGCGCCGTACCTTGCTCTACATGTCTTTCCCCCTTTCCCCTCAACACCTCTCCCGCTACTCGCCTTCGCTCCCGACACTCGAATGTACGGGCCGCTAGAGCGCCGTTAGATCGCCACTCTCACCCCTAGACTCGTAGTTATGCCGCTAGGGCCGCCTTCTCTAACAGAGCAGCGTTGCCCAGCAGGGCTCTCGCACGCATGTTACTCGCGAAAAGCGCACAAGCGCTCCAACACCACTTCCACACTTCTCACGAATGGGCCCCGAATTTTCATTGGTGTGTTGCTGCTTGCATCTAAGAGTCACGACTTTTCACCTGTGTCATTTTATTATCTTTTTTTGTCGTTTTGTGGGTTCGCTCCCATCGTTTCATTTTGCGTTTTTGGCCCAGGGTCGGTAGCGTATATGTCCGCAAAAAATGCACTTTTGCAAAAATGCAATTATAGGACTATAAATGGGAACTCTCGACCTAAGCGAGAGCTACAAAGTTGGGGTCCTTTCTAAAGCCGGCATCTAATGCTTGCAAAAGATATGAGATTTTTACTCCCTCAAGATTGTGCACAACACCTGGTTGCGATTTGCAGTCGTAAATGTTATTTGTTCGTCGTTTTTTTCAATGGTCCCCCCCAAAGGTTTTTCCTCCGCTTTTTTCCCGCTCATTTCACTGCCGCCGAAATTGGGGTTCTTACTGAGGGCCGAAAATCAGCTGTTGTAAAACTTCAAACACGATTTTGCAAACCTAACAATTTGTTTTGTTAGGTTTTCACGAATCCCCTGTTCCATGCAATAGATCATGGATGGGGCAGAAGAGATGGACCGAATATTCGCCGCTAGTTTCCTAGAAGGTGAAGATCATGCTAAGGAAGGAGATTCCTCCGAACTGGTTAGAGCGAATGCCAAGCTAGCCGCGCTTCAAAACAAATTTGAAAACATGGGCTTCGTTTCCGGCCCCGTCACCTATCTAAAGCAACTTGGAGGCAAGAGGTCGATATCAGCCACAACCCCAGGACTGCCTGTAATGGTCATACCTACGCCTCCCCCAGACACAGTTATTAAACCAAACGAATCAAGTACAATACGAGATATAACTCGGATGCAACTTAGTTTAATGCAGGAAAGCAAAAGGGAACAGTGCGAGCACAACACCCGGATAGAATCATTGATGCGGTCGATGTGCCCCATCGCCGTTCAAGCTGCACCGATAGTACCAGGAGTAACTCCCGGCCAAGCCATGGGTGGTGCTGTAACTAATCTAGTCGTATGTTACACGTATCACCCGCCGAACCACATAGCTCGGGACTGCCCCAGCCGACCAGCACCAATCCGTATAGGAGCAGCCCCCGCGGCAACGGCACCCGTGGCCAACGGACTGGGGAGGGTAGGCACGATGGTGGAAGAGGTAGAGGGAGGGGGGAGTGCGATAACCACTACCGAGAAGCTGCGAAGCTTATCCCCCTCGATCAATACATCTCGCTGGGTTACCAGGGGCTGGGAATGATCGGAACCATCCGTTCCGCGAATGAACAACGTGAAGTTACAAAATGGAAACCATCTCCTTGGGAAATGGAGTATGGAGGCCCTACTTCGTTACGGGAGAGATTGATGTCATGGACATCGTCCGAGCACTGGACCACTGGATTCCCCTACCCATCGGACATTTGTTGTCCATATCGGAGCAAGAAAATGAGCGAATGCTGCAACATTACAAGGCAAACCGGAAGCGGTTTGCCCTTGACAGGCTAGCAGCTACCGTGACCAAGGGGAAGGCACCCCTCCGAGAAGACAAACCCGATGCCCCCAACACCTCAGTTCCAATACGATTGAGACTAATCCAAAAAGACGACCATCTTTTGCGCATCAAGGCTATTCTGCGGAAATCCGTGGAGTGTAACGTAGAAGTCTGGGGAGTCCCGTACAGTGCTATCATCGACTCAGGGGCCGCTGTTTTAGCCGTTTCTCTAAAGGTGGTGGAATGAGCAGGAAGAAGGAAAGATTTGATCCCGTTCAAAAAGCGATCAATTATCCTCCGAAATACGGGCGGAAAACCATACGTCATTCTGATGCGTCGAACTTTCCGGACAGTGTTACCTACAACTCGGAAAGCCCTCCCCAAACTCGGGGAACCACTCCACGTGATCTCCTGGGAAGAACCCACCAACGAACTAGATAGTGGGGGAAAAGGGCCCAAGTCTTCACCTAGGTTGACCCAACACTTCTGACAGTGAGGAGGAGCAGACCCTGTGATCTTGGATATGGCGCACCAACTAGTTTGCTACCCGGTTCGGTAGAAAACAATGAAAACATTTGTCCTCATGGAAAGGAACCTCTGATGGGTGCGGGCTCTAATCTTGGGAGAACCACTGGTACCCGTGTCCCGAATGATCGATTCTTGGGAACCCCCTCGAACCCTATATGAAGCCACCACCCCACTCCTCCCAAGGTATAGCGACAAGAAAGCATTTTGCGATATTACGGGATTACCTCGCTCCTTGCTCTCTACAGGGAAAGAGGTATGATTGCTACGACAGGGCACCGAGAGGGAAGCTCTGGAACCCTCTGGGTGTAGCAACCCCTTGCCCTTTGAAATCAGGATTAGGATTACCGAGAAACCCGTAAGCCCCCGAGATATCGAAGATGGCGTTACGCCAGAGGAACACGTGGCGATCCGAGAGGAGGACGCTCAGATGATTGTCACGGTGTTCTGCTGGCGATCGGACAGCTCGTTCATCCCGTCTCCTCCACCACGAAGCGGTACAAGGGTTGGCACGAAGCAAGTAACGGTCAGTATCCATAGGCAGTTGTATGAGCTACATGTACCCCAGTACGTGCCCGATAAAATTCATCGCTCCATTGCCGACATCTTATCTGAATATCAAGGGGCGATTAACGTCAAGGACACAGACATCGGGTTGTCCCTAGTTATCTAACACGAGATCCAAACAGGAACGCATCCACCAATCCACTGCAAGCCATACCGATATTCCCCAGCGGAACGAAAAATGGCGTTGGAACGAATCCGGGCTAGTTACAGGGCTCTGGTCCTTCCCCGTGGTTTAAGTTCCAAAAAAAATGGATCGATTCGCATATGCATTGATTACAGAAAATTGAATGATATCACGATTAAAGATGTATACCCCCTTCCCCGGATTGACGATTTGTTGGATTTGATTGGGTTTGCTAACTATTTTAGTAAGTTCGATATCCGCCATCGGTTTTGTCATATCTTGGTCAAGGAGGAGGACCGACCCAAGACAACGTTTGTGTTGTTCGAAGGCACCTGACAGCTATGAAACACCCACGAAGGCGGTCGCGGTCTGGGCCACGACCCCGCGGCCATGGCCGTGCGACCGCGCGACTTCGTGGCCGCATGGTGGCCAGTGGGGAGGGGGGGCGGGGGTTTGGGAAGTGAAATGGGGTTGCGCAACCCCAGCCCCACCCCCTGGGGGGGGGGGAAACCAATTTTCGGGGAGGGGGGTTTGGTTGTGAGTGAAGATAAGGATGGGGGGGAAAAACGCATTTTTTTTTTCTTCTTCTTTTTCCGTGGATTGATTGATTGATTGATTGGTGGGGGAGGGGTCGCCCCCCCCCACCCACCACCACCACACACACACACACACACGTGTGTAGTACTGTACATTTCCATGTTCCAGCGGAAGATTCATTCCATTTTGCTCTTTTTTTTTTTTCGTTTTCTTGATTGATTGATTGATT